AAGTTCTGGTTTTATGTGTCTCTCTGATAAGCTATATGAACAGCTAACTAATTAAGGTCTGACTTTGTGTGTCTCTCTGATAAGCTCTATGAATAGCTAACTATTTAAGTTCTGGTTTTATGTGTCTCTCTGATAAGCTCTATGAATAGCTAAGTATTTAAGTTCTGGCTTTGTGTGTCTCTCTGATAAGCTCTATGAATAGCTAGCTATTTAAAGTCTGGCTTTTGTGTGTCTCTCTGATATAGCTCTAGAGACAGTAACTATTTAAGGTCTGGCTTTGTGTGTCACTCTGATAAGCTCTATGAATAGCTAGCTATTTAAGGTCTGGTTTTTTTGTGTCTCTCTGATATAGCTCTAGAGACAGTAACTATTTAAGGTCTGGCTTTGTGTGTCTCTCTGATAAGCTCTCTGAATAGCTAACTTGTTAAGGTTTGGCTCTATGTATCTCCACACCTCTCCGTGTGTCTTTCTGAATTTTAGGAAACAGCAAACCATTACATTCGACAGTTATGTTGAATGGATTAGCAAAGCATTTAAATGCGAAATCTGAATACTAGTAAAGGATGAAGATTAGATAAATGTATTGCTAACTCGGATATGTATTCAATGACATCTTGTTCTAAAGCTTATCTGTTGCCTGATATTATTTTCTAGAAGTAAAAGGTTGACTTTTTGGAACCACTTGGCCAATTTCAAACAAACTTGGTGTTTTATGGTAAAACTGGAATCATGCTTCTTAAGTTGTTTATGCCCCTTTACTTTCCAAACAAAGGAAATCAATTTTATCATCGGATATTCTATCCTAAACCCTGGAGAAAAAAAAATTCTGGCGGGTGTAATTGTTTTGGGGTTTCTTAAATTTCAGGAGATAATTAAAGATGAAAGAAGAAAAGAGTCCAAAAGAAGAAAAGAACAAATCAAAGAAATTAGGGGTATTTCTTAAGACTATTATAGCTCATTAAACGTAAAATCATTAGTTGATTAAACTACATACAGATATATTTTAAAGTCAATTTTATTATACAAAATAGCATTATTATACCTAAAAACACCTGTGACTTGAATTATCTCTTTCTATGGCACCTGATCTCTGATGTTTCGGAGGTCCGTGTTTGCTCTGCTCCTATTTTGTAGTGTTTTGTGGACTTTGATATTGAAACCTCTTCTTCCTTTTCAGAGAATGAAAAAAAATCAGAAAATGGTGTAAACGAAAGTTTTGTTGTTGTGGGTCAATGTAAGTATTTTTCACGATTTGTTCTTACTACATTTATACCATCTCCACTACCGCGGCGAGGGGATATAAACATCGACAAGAACATCCTTATTTTCTTGATTTCTGAAGTATAACAGTTGTTCCTATCAATCATTTAATTTTGACTTAAACATTTATCTGTGACCATAAAGGTCTATATACAGTTTTTATTATGAAGAAATAAAAAGTCTCAGTCTATAAGACCGAACTGCTACTATCTAAAAACAGTACACCAGAAATCAATGTAACAAGCACATTTATTTTATTAAATTAGTGTAAATTAACAGACATATTTTAGTTTACATTTGGTATACCTACTTTGTAAATCATCAGATCATTTTTAAAATTAAAAACACCAGTTCAGCTCTAATATATATAAATTAATTTAAATTATGGGAGAATGTAACTAAATATTTTGAATCATGTATATATACTAACGTTACCAAGTATTAAAAAAATATCAGAGACGTTATCATTTGTTATTGCAGCCCGGAGGACCGGGCTGCTCTATACATATAAGTTTAAGAGTTGGTGTATGGGGATTGAGGTGGGAGAAGTTATTCAGAATTAAAGGTTTTCTAAACATTAAAAAGATTGTTGATCAGAATGTTCTTTCACTTTATAAATTACGAGATACATAATATATTTACTGCCATAAAGTGAATTTGCAAAAATATATATGTTTTTCATATTTAATATATAAAGTTGCTTATCATTTACTATCGACAATATGACAGGTCCCTTTTTTTAGAACATCAAATTTTACTTATCGCATAAAAACATACTCCACGCAGTTCGTGTTTTATATTCTTCAAGTGGAATACATTTTGAATATAGGTGATGTATGCGTCTGGTTTCAATTTATATTTTATACAGCCAACATTTACTTGGGGAATTGAAAAAGTTTAAAAGGGTAACGTTTTTGTTCGATTTTCATCCGACTATAAGTTTTCAAAATATTCTCGACTATCGTCTCCATCATTAAGACGCATGCCTTTTTCACCACTCGGAGATCCTCGGATGACTCGTACCTCGCACATAACCTCGGACGTCAGCGGTGATCTACCATCTTGCTGGTCCAGTCATGTGATCTTATTTGAATTTCTTTCAAATGTCATACATTTGAAATCGGAGTTATTTTGTGGCACACTCAACAGGTTTTTCTTTCTTTCAAAGCCTATTAACATGAGGATGTAATCAAAACCTGTTTACGATAAGGAATTGCACAAATTAAGAAACATTTTCGAAGAACGTTATGCAGAGCGAAATATGAAATGAGTGATAAGGCAGTTTCCGGCGGAGAAATGTAAGGATCTGTTGCGTATTCCTCCACTAATCACATCCGAGGTTTGAATGGAGCGTAGCGGAGTCAGCCGAGGATTGCCGATTGCTTTTTCACACATATCAAAGCGGTTTGATGATCAAGACTCATTGTTGTTTACTTTATATATTTCCCGGGCGACAATTGATGGTTACATCAATGTTTTCTTGTTATTTAATGTAATGTTTAATTGTTCAACTACTTGCAGTTGTAGAGGTACTAGTATACAACTATTTAACTTGATCAAATGGCAACAGAAGGAACAGATTTGAAGAGTATTTTAAACTCCCTTGACAATTTACCTTCCTTGATTTTGGATATATTTGATGTCCATAAACTCAGAAGATTCACATGATTCTTCACCATCTGCACTTTCCGATGCGCCCATTGAAAAATAATACATACATAATATCAAACTTGATCAGAGGTTGTACAAGCGCAAAAGAACGGCATTAGGGTTTTTTTTTTCGTTCAAGTACACTTACGCTGCTCATCTTAAAATTGATCGAAAGTACATAAAATGTATATTCTTTTTTTTTGAATTGTTATGGCTCCCAGGGGAGACAGTGAAATATTGAAATAACAAACAGCATTCAACCTTATACGAGCAAGTCCATTCAAAGAATACAAATCAGGGGGAGAACATACACGGACCTTTAAAGGGGCACAGACACAGTTTCAGCTAAAAAATTTCAAATCTGTTTTTCCATTTTACAAATATTTAACTAGGGTCTTTCTAATGATCATCAAAAATCTTGACTGCAGTTGTCGAGATACAGAACAGATTTAGAGCTCCAAACCTTTTTTATGTATACGGGGTCCATGTCATGTTTTGTTTACATAGATTAATATATTATATATATATTTGTTCAAAGCAGATAATTTCAATAAAGAAGTTAATTCTAAATACAATTTGACAGTTTCCAGTGATTTCCTGAATTTCATTTTGTTATAAATAAGATATTTTATACAACTAAACAAAAACAAGTCACAAGCCCTGTTTATATCTTGAAGAACTTCAAGTTCTGTATCTTGTTTGTTAATCAACAAATGATTTGCATATTTTCGCTGATCATTAGATGATGCCTTAGTTTGGAATTGTAAGAATTAAAATTCGTTTTAAAAAATTTATTGAAACTGTGTCCATGTCCCTATAAAACAACCAGAGCTAGGATTAGGTTCCATGGAGGAGTGAATTTCCCTGCCAACCGATTAGCCCCGCCGTGTGCTCCTTGTTACGATCCATTTTAAAAAAGGGTGAGGGGGAGCCAGAGACAATTAACTGTCCAAAAATTGGCCTCATAACCATTGTATCGGCCATATAACTTGTAATATGATGACCTTAAACTAGATTATTGATATCTTTGTTTCATTATCTTGTTTCGCAATGGTTCGCTTCACTGTAGATATTGTTAGCGTGCTCTTGCGTGAAAAAAGCAGATGATAAGTATATATTGTGACATAAGTAATATACAGTTAAAGTATATCATTGAGGGGGTTAGCAAGATTCCAGTTCCCCAAGGCCAGGACTATTTCCCAAGGCTCCATCCACTCAAAAGTTATGAAACAAGGTTAGAGTTTTTGTGGACAAACGAACTAGACAGACGGACAGGACAAAAGCTATATACCCCCAAAGTTTGATTACTTGAGCATAAAAAGATTGGATGAGTTGAATGAATCTAAAGATACAGTTTTCTAAAACGTACACAAAACACATTGGTAAGATTCTAACATATTTTAATTTTCATGCCCCGTTTTTGAAGATCAGGAGGAATACATTTTGTCCAGTCTGCCAAGCTATCCTGCTGTTTGCAGATATACTCCTTGTGACAAGATCTTTGGAAATAAAAGTATTTTACTTCTTGACCTAGCAATTTGATTGCTTCAATGATCAGCAAATTGACCTTGGAGGTTGACTTGCTTCTGAGAAATTTAACCTTTGCGATGAGCTGCAAAACGAAAATATCAGTGTTTTACGGAAATATCCAAGTTTTACATTGAAATTTATAGGAAAAATCTTTTAAAATCTTCTCAAGAATCACTGGACCAGAAAAGTTTAAACTTACATGGAAGCATCATGGGGTAATGTAGAGTTAAAATTGTTCAAATCACGACCTCCAGGGGTAGGGTGGAGCCACAATAGGGAATCCAAGTTTTACATTGAAAAATACACGAAAAATAATTGAAAATCTTATTCTCAATAACCATTGGGCAGCATCTTGGGGTAGTGTATATTCTAAATTGTCAAAAGCATGACCCCAGTGGGTAGGGTGGGGTCACAATCGGTATTACAAGGGGGGAAATCTGTTAAAGAAGACCATGGTCACAGTTACTCAGGTGAGCGATGTGGCCCATGGACCTCTTCTTTTTATAAACCAATCAATAATTTGAAATAAAGATTAAACATGCGAAATATCCCACCTGTTGTTCAACAAATGTTACTGCGCAGACAGTGATTACCGTTAAAACTACCAGCAGCAAGGACAATCAAAAGAAGCAGCATGAAGACATACAGTTTGGTATTGATAATTGTTCTTTTTGTCCATACTTGTAAGTACAAATTTCTCTAGATGTAAATTAATATATTGCATCCACATGTATTGAATTCTTTTCTTATATGTATTTTAATATTTCTGATAAATGAATTGAAATTTTGTCAGCCAGAATAGCTGCAGATCTGTAGCTGTCTGGTTTGATAAAATTGGTAAATCCTTGAAAGGGGAAGAGAATGAAAGGGGTCTTGGCATTATGTGGAATAAGAAAATAACAAAAACAAATTGTCAAAGAAGATAAATGCGAAGTTCCATATAACTTTTATGCAATTCTAAACCACCTGAACATGAATAGACATGGTTTGAATTACGATGATAGCATGTAATATATCGATTAATCTTGTGATAAAAGAAACCTAGTCTGTTTCATTTTTTAAATTTACTGCAAACTGTGTTTATTCTAGATATTGTAAGAATATATTAAACTGTATAACTACTTAAAGGTATATTAACTCAATGTGAATGGAAAATGTTTACGTTTAAAAAATATTTCTAAAACTCTGATGAAAATCATGAAATTAAATTTTCGTGGAAAGATGCACAAAATAATTCATTTGCAAGACCATTGTATTTTATAAAGTTTTTTAAACAGTTTTGTTATCAAAAAAGAGAATTTCCACTACAAGGTTCAACTATAAGTTGGGAGAGTAGTTTGACAAACCGACCATGGTTAATGAAGTAGCATAATGCATTAATCGTATTACAGTGTACATTTTCTCTTTCAAAATGTCACGAAATTTGTAGACTGTATGGATCCGCCTACGAAGTGCCCATTGGTTTGCCCGATGAACTGGATGCCTTTTTGTGGATCAGACGGACACACCTACAGCAACAAGTGTGAACTCGATGCCTACAATTGTCTGTGAGTTATAAGCAATTAAAGAGAGACAGAAATCATTAAAACTGAAGAATAATTGCACATGCATAACATTCTTTCACTTATTTTTCAGCTTTAAATTGAAGGTTGTGAAAATTCATGACGGTACATGTAAGAATAATACAGTCAATTAAGATGCAACAGCAATCAGCCAAATGGGCCAGGATTATGAAATACCATTGTTATTAATTTGATGAGGAACAACAAATTAAGTAAAATTATGCAGTTGGAGCAAATTGTTATAATTGAAGATTAGAGAACATTGGAAGAACAACATTCCAGTGCAAACAGAAAAATATTCCAATCATTTACAATACTTGTGCAAGTTTAAACTATATATTGTCACATTGCTGTTATGCCCACACAAAGGTGTTTACCTGTGAATGTACTCACCTTCATATTTGAAGAATCAGAGAAGGCCCTACAATAATTCTATAATTTACAAAGAAGTCTGTTTTCAGTCCCCCAATCGCACGAATCGTTCTCTTGTATGGTGAAACGAAATTCCGAAGACCCGCCCATATTTATTCCAAAATAGGGCAACTGTGTAAAAAGTAACATAAGTTAAGGGTGCAAGGTTTTGTTAAAAACACCATTTCGACCCCCCCCCCCCATTTGGCCCACAGGATGAAGATAAAAATTTTGACACTATCACATCTTCAGGACCCCACCATTTTCCATCCAAGAAATTTCTTGGCGTAGCCGATAAAATTGTAAGGTAAGCTTGGGAAACTAGGTTTTAATTAGAAAAACGGGTTTTATCCCTTAACCATCCCCTAACTATTACACTTATCTAAATTCTGAAACCTTAATACAAATTTATACAAGTAAAAACTGAAGGGCACTTTTAATCATATTTCAAACAACGAATGAGCTTCTGCGAAAAAATGTAAGAGGAGTTCAAAGGAACAGGTTTTGTAGAAAATCGATTTCGACACCACTAGATTCCAAATCGTCCCAAGAGTGAAAATTGAAATCTTATTCAGATCTCCTAGACACTCCAAATCATGTTCCAAAATATAAATTGTTTTGTGCAAAAAAAAAGTTCAAGGAAACAGGTTTTTGTTGAAAAACGGTGTTTTCGACTTCTACTTGGTCCCTAGGGTGAAAATGACAATTCTGAAGCCCTAGCTTTTTCTTTACTGCATCTAAACATATTATTAAAACGACATGTATATATTATCCACTTCCCGAACCTTTATAATCGTCTCTACAAACCAAAAAAACTCACTGATTTGGGGTTTTTTTTGCCGATTTTTTTTATGCTTTATTCAAAACAAGGGATATTATTTGTTTACAGAGATTGGGAGGTAGATTAATATATACAGGATGGATAAAGAATGTTTCTAGAACTGGGGAGTGATTTGTTGATTGACCAATGCTGAAAAATGCAGCTACACCTACATCGACATGAGACCTTCGTTTACACAGTCTCATCCAAGGGACCGCGATCTCCGCGCCCCGTACTTGGATTTGAAACTTCGACGTTAGCATCTATTCCTTATTTCGAAACGCTAAAGCAAGCACTCTATTCACAGCACAACGCAGGCGATTTAATACAGTTTTAAATATAAAAGTAGAAAGGGTAGCGTTTTGAAAGCATTTCAGCAAAAAATATTTCTAGTAACCAAAGCAGCGCAAGGGCCATTTGTTGAAATATAGAAAAAAAAATTAGATTTATATTAATTTTTTTTCTTAGTGACATCAACCTAGTATGCAAGTAATAAAGAAATCTGAACAAACAAGAGGCCCATGGGTCACATCGCTCACCTGAATAATTTTGGTGATGCCGTTCTTTACCAGATTCCCCCACTTGTAATACCTACTGTGGCCCCACCCTAGCCCCCCAGTCATGATTTTAAGAATTTAGAATCTACACTACTCCAGGATGCTTCCAAATAAGTTTCAGCTTTTCTGGCCCAGTGGTTCTTGAGAAGAAAATTTCTAAAGATTGTCCCTATATATTTCAATGTAAAACTTGGATTCCCTATTGTGGCCCCGCCCTAACCTGGGGGGGGGGGTCACGTTTTGCACTATTTAGATTCTACACTCCCCAAGGATGCTTCCACGTAAGTTTCAGCTTTTCTGGCCCAATTGAGAAGAAGAGTTTTGAAGATTTTTCCTACGTATTTCATTGTTAAACTTGGATTCCCTATTGTGGCCCTGTCCTACCCCTGGGGGTCATAATTTTAACAATTAAAAAAAAATCTACACTACCTTAATTAGGATGTTTCCACATAAGTTTCAGCTTTTCTGGCTCAGTGGTTCTTGAGAAGACTTTTTTAATGACCCCACCCTATTTTTGTCTTTTCTTGATTACTCAGTATCTCCACTTGCAAGGGGACTTTCAATATAAGAGGTATAACTCCTCTTCACCCCTTCTCCTACTGCTAGGTTTTCATTTTCACAATTTAAGCTTCCAATCACCCAAGGATGCTTTGTACCAAGTTTGGTTAAAATTGACCCGGTGGTTCTTGAGAAGAAGATGAAAATGTGAAAAGTTTACAGACAAACGGACGGACGGACGATGGACAGTGAGTGATCAGAAAAACTCACATAAGCTTTCAGCTCAGTTGAGTAAAAACTGAAGAGTGGCGTTTCGAAAATATTTACTAGTAATGGCAGGGCTAATAAAATAAAAATATTTGTTTGATGTGCTCGTCAAAATCGCCCCTACCCAATCATTTTTTTCATCACTGAATCTCCCCTTTTCCATAGTATAAATTCTCTAGCTGTATATAGGATTCTTTTTGATTGGAGCTTTATTGCAATAAATAATAAATCTATATACTATCCAAAGTGTAATGGAAACCAAAAAAAAAAAAAAAAACAACCAAAAAATCTGAGTCTGTGATTTTTGTAGTTATTATTTCGTCCAATACTACAAAGCAGAAAAAAATAACTACCTACCTACCCACCTTTAAAAATGAAACAAAAATATTATACTGATTGCCCAGATAGATGACACACGACAAACACTTGATTAGTGCATAAACTGTCTCCAACAGTAGGGATAAAAAGTTGCGGAAATCAGCATCTTTGTCATGTTCCTATTAGTTCCCTTTATATGGGTAGGTATTGTTATGTGCTAATTGTATTAACACACGCCCAGGTAGAATTAACCAGAAGTCTCTGTCGAGACTGAAGCTATACTGATTTGTACTTACAGTAAAAGAAGAGAAAAGCAGTTGGGAATTGAGACTTTACAACAGCAATAAATAGAATAATAATTCTTGATTAAGTCTAATTATGTTCTTAGTGTAGTCTGCTTGCATGCCACATTATATTATAATCAGACTAAAACCTTATTTGGAGTAGCATTTTGAGAGTATTTAACAGAAATTTCTATTTTTTAGTAACCAAGGCAATAATGTTCATCAAAGTCAAAAACTGATATGCAGAATTGTGTATCTTAGTGTAGTCTACTTGTGTGCCAAGTTATATTGAAATCAGACCAAAACTGTAGGAGGAGTAGCATTTTGAAAGAATTTCACAGAAATTTCTATTTTAAGTAACCACGGCAACACCGTTCATCGAAGTCAAAAACTAGTATGCAGAATTGTGTACCTTAGTGTAGTCTACTTGTGTGCCAAGTTATTTTGAAATCAGACCAAAACTGTAGGAGATGTAGCATTTTGAAAGAATTTCACAGAAATTTCTATTTCTAATAACAACGGCAACACCGTTCGTCGAAATCAAAAACTGATAAACAGAATTATGTATCTTATTGTAGTCTACTTGTTTGCCAAGTTATATTGAAATCAGACCAAAACTGTAGGAGAACTAGCATTTTGAAAGAATTTCACAGAAATTTCTATTTTTAGTAACCATGGCAACACTGTTCATCGAAATTAAAAACAAATGCACAGAATAATGTACCTTAGTGTAGTCTACTTGTGTGCCAAGTTATATTGAAATCAGACCAAAACTGTAGGAGGAGTAGCATTTTGAAAAATTGTTTACAGACAGACAGTTGGACAGACAGATGTACGGACGCCGGACGCATTACTATCGCATAAGCTCCAGTAGAGCTAAAAATGAAGACTTTCATTCCTATAAGCGTTGGCTTTTTGAAATAAATAAAAATATTTGATAAAAATATCCAGCCCTAATCATATTAATGAAGAAAAATACCATTTTGTGAAAAGTTCGGTAAAGTCATACTGTTTTCTATGGTTTAGTCAAAATATGAGATCATTTTATTTATTGAAAAATACCTATTAAGGTGAAAAATCTATTAGACACGAGGAACCTACTGTATTCATATAAACACAGAAAATAAAGCTTGCTTTAGTTTTTAGTCATAAAGGTTAAAAAATCACAGAATATGTAACTTAACACCAATTTCAACTTGTCAAATATGCATGTACATATAACTAATATTATGTTTTTTTAGCAAAAAAGTAAGAGAAATTCAGAGACTGAGGTTTTTGTAAAAACACTTTTTCCAAAGGTAGAACCAATAAGTTGAAATCTTCTTACACTTCCACAGGAGACCACCAACAGCATTCTTAAAGATGAATTGGCAATTGCAAGAAATGTAAGAGTATAGTTCAGAAAAACTGTTTCATGTAATAAAAATAACGTTTACAACGCCCAACCCCCCTTTAAAACTTTCATGTACATCTCAGGGTACTCCAAATCATGACATAAATATGTATGGGCAAGACAGGTTTGTTTAGGGAACCAGGTAGAATACAATAAGTTTGATACACCCCACCAGATTTGGCTCCCCTAGTTGAAAATGAAAATCTTTCAATCTTTTTGCACATTTGCAGGGCACAACTAATCACATTTCAAAAGATGAGCTGCTTAAAATGTAGGAATAGATTTAGAAAGAAGCTAGTGTGATGAAAGGACAGAAATCCTTTAAATGGGTAACCATAGTGAGCGAAGCAATAAATTACCAAAATATCAAATCCATTATCTCTACAGAGGCCTGGTAATTCAAAGATAAGGTAAACATAAGGAATAGGGGTACACCTGACCAAATTAGGAAAACTAACTATTTATCGTCAAATGATTCTTAATCTTCGCTCTGCTCAGCAGGCAACACAAAAATCCAGTAAATAAAATATTTGTTTAAGTTTAGTCTATTAAATTGCGTACCAAGTGTTACTGAAATCGGATTTAAACTGTAGGAGGATGGATTACATCATTTCATTAAGCAAACCATTTTGTGTTAATCAAAATCCCATATAAACAATTATGATTTTACTTTCATCTACTTGTGTAA